CCCTACGAGTGCCCGGTGGGCACCTGCCGCAAGATCTACAAGAGCTACAGCGGGATCGAGTACCACCTGTACCACTATGACCACGACAACCCCCCCCCCGCCCCAGCACACCCCCCTGCGCAAGCACAAGAAGAAGGGGCGCCAGGCCCGCGCCGCCAACAAGCAGTCGCCCAGCCCCTCCGAGACCTCCCAGTCGCCGGGCCGCGAGGTGATGACCTACGCCCAGGCCCAGCGCATGGTGGAGGTGGACCTGCACGGCCGCGTCCACCGCATCAGCATCTTCGATAACCTCGACGTGGTGTCCGAAGACGAGGAGGTACCCGAGGAGGTGCCCGAAAACGGGAGCAATAAGGAGAACACGGAGACCCAGAGCGTCCCGCCCAAATCCGGCAAGCACAAGAACAAGGAGAAGCGCAAGGACTCCAACCACCATCACCACAATGCCTCGGCCGGCACCACCCCCAAGCTCCCCGAGGTGGTGTACCGGGAGCTGGAGCAGGACACCCCCGACGCCCCACCTCGTCCCACCTCTTACTACAGGTATTGTCTGCTCGGGGCGCGAGGAGGCTCAGAGCCAGCTCTGACTCGTACCCTGGGTCTGGAGGCAGAATCGGCCCCGCTCAGCGCAGGCGACTTGCCCGTGGCTTGTGGAATTGGCCTCTGTCTGCCTCTCCCGGGTCTCGCGGAGCTGGTCGTATCGTGGCTTCAGGCTCTCGGGGCTCTGTCTGGTGTCACACCCCGGTTCTGAGGGGTCCGTGTGCCTGCAGAGCTCTCAGCCGCTGCTTAGGTCGTTGCCACCAGTCGGATCGCTGCGCTCTTCCCTTGCTGGGACGGCAGGTAGAGTTATAGCAAAAAACCAACTGCATCCTCCTGCCTTCCCCGTGGCTCTTCAGAGGTGTTCGGGGATAGCTCTGGAGGCCCCCAGATGTGTGTGTTTGTGGGCTTAACGTGTCTTTTCTCCCACGGTTTTTCCATGGGTGGTTTGGCGAGCGCAGCAGCCCAAAATAATACCTCAAGCAGGGAGTTAATACTGAACGTAAGTAAGGTTTGTGTGGCCACCCTGGCTGTCCTAGTTGCCACGTGCCCTGAGAAACCAGCGCCGCATTCCAGGGATGGGGTAACGACGTTATTTTGTGTCAGCGTTAGAAGAGAAACCACCCCCCGAGTGTCTGCAGTGCCGCTGGGGGGTAGTTGCCGTCAGCTGCTGGAGCAGCAGCAGCTTTGGGGTTCCTCTCTAAATAAAGTCCTTTGTCCCACAACTGGGAGTGAAAGAGAAGAGGGCGGCAGCTGCCCTTGCCAGAATTAATCAAACGTGGTGCCTCCATGCCTGGTTGCCGTTGTGTCTTGGGCACGAGGCCACAGTCCCCAGAGCATCTGGCACCTGCTTGGTGGCTCGTGCAGGCTCCCACCTCGCGCTGATGAGTTTCCGAGGCCCGTACCTCGCCCCTTAGATGAGTGTGATTTGGTCAGTGTCGTCCCCAGCGCGCTGTTGTGCCGCAGCGCTGCTCAGGGTGCAAGCAGCACGTCCCGCTTCTGCACGTTCCTGCCGTGTCTCTGGTTTTTTATTCTGACTTATGGCTTGGCTGGAGTGTTTTAAATGTTTCCTCAGCCACAGCCTGCGGGAGTTAGGGTTCAGCAGCTCCGAGCCCCCACCAGCCGTGCCCTCACGCTCCTGTGCTGTCCTTCCAGGTACATCGAGAAGTCGGCAGAGGAACTGGATGAGGAGGTGGAGTACGACATGGATGAGGAAGATTACATCTGGCTGGACATCATGAACGAGCGGCGGAAGACTGAAGGCGTGAGCCCCATTCCCCAGGAGATCTTTGAGTATCTGATGGACCGGCTGGAGAAGGAGTCCTACTTCGAGAGCCACAACAAGGGGGATCCAAACGCCTTGGTGGATGAGGATGCCGTCTGCTGCATCTGCAACGACGGGGAGTGTCAGAACAGCAACGTCATCCTCTTCTGCGACATGTGCAACCTGGCTGTGCACCAGGAGTGCTACGGGGTGCCCTACATCCCCGAGGGACAGTGGCTCTGCAGACGGTGCCTGCAGTCACCCTCGCGAGCCGTGGACTGTGCCCTCTGCCCAAACAAGGGGGGGGCTTTCAAGCAGACGGACGACGGGCGCTGGGCACACGTGGTCTGTGCCCTCTGGATCCCGGAGGTTTGCTTTGCCAACACCGTCTTCCTGGAGCCCATCGACAGCATCGAGCACATCCCGCCCGCGCGCTGGAAACTGACCTGTTACATTTGCAAGCAGCGCGGCTCGGGGGCTTGCATCCAGTGTCACAAAGCCAACTGCTACACTGCCTTCCACGTCACCTGCGCCCAGCAGGCCGGGCTGTACATGAAGATGGAGCCCGTCCGGGAGACGGGGGCCAACGGTACCTCCTTTAGCGTGCGCAAAACCGCCTACTGCGACATCCACACGCCGCCGGGCTCCGTGCGCAGGCTTCCCGCCCTCTCCCACAGCGAGGGGGAAGAGGAAGATGAGGAGGAAGAAGAGGAAGGGAAAGGCTGGAGCTCGGAGAAAGTCAAAAAAGCAAAGGCCAAGTCTAGGATCAAGATGAAGAAGGCGCGGAAGATCCTAGCGGAGAAACGAGCCGCAGCGCCGGTGGTTTCTGTGCCCTGCATCCCCCCGCACAGGTACGACCTGCAGCTCTCCCTCAGCTGTGGAGAAATTTCTCCCTTTCTCTGTGCCTCATGTCCTGCTTTCCACGTGGGCGTTATCTTCTCCCTCTCCTTAGTACCTTTTTTCCCAGATACTTTTCTCTTTGTTCTCGCAGAGAGCTGTTGGTGGTTTCCTCTGGCAGTCCTGCAGAGAGGCAGGGCGATGCGCTGCCCCGCAGAGGTGTCTGGGCCCTCCACACGGCAGGAAATAGCTGCTGTTTGTTTAATGACAGAGAACTAACTTGGCCAGATGTGTCAGGAAGCAGCTGGGGGTTCCCAGTGCTCCTCTCCTGTTGCGCTGACCTCAGGCACTGGAGTGAACTGGGGAGGGAGGACAGGGAGGACGGGCCTGCTCTCCTTTCTGCCAAGGTTTGTTTTCTCCCGGGGCTGTGCTGAGGAGAAGAGGGAAGTGTGGGAGTGATTTGGGCCTGGGAAACCGGCTAACCCCAGGGGTTGTTTTGGCTCTGGAGCAGAGATCTCATACTGGGACCCCTGAGCCCTGCTGAGCACAGCTCATCCATCCCAGCAACTGCTTACCCCTTGCTGGGGCTTCCTTGGTGTTCCGTGCCTGTCGCAGGCAGCAGCTCTGCCTCGGTGCAGCCTGTCCGAGCGGGACGCGGAAACCTCTGCACAGTCCTGGAGAGGACCAGAACTCCTGCCTGCCAAAGGGCACGACTGGCACAACTGTCGTGAGGTTGGCTTCACAGCACGAGGGCAGCGCAGGTGCTGCCGGGAAGGTACTTGAGACCTTGCCGGGGGTCGTGTTTCTGTCGTGTCCTGACCCCGAGGGCTCACGGGAAGGTGCAAACACCTGGTAGTTACCGGTGTGACCACGGTGCGTCTTGCTACGGCCTGATCGTTGGGCTGGTGTGCAAATCCTGAAACAAGAGCATCTAAGAGCCTTGTGAGAATTTGTTAGTACAGTTTAGAACTGGGTGTCCTCGTCAGTGCGCAAAAGCAGGTAGAAGCATAGGACGGTTTTGGATCTTGGTGTCGCACGGTTGAAGCACAGGTTGGGCATGGAAGCGTTTGCCTTCGCAGTTGTGAGCCAGCCCCTGAGCTGCTGAGCATTCCTCCTCCCTGTGGCCGGAGCTGTGCTGGGGGCACGACCCCGTGATGCCCCATGGCCCGTTGAGCACGGCTGTGACAGCGCAGGGACGTGGGACGGCTGCTTCCCTGCGGGCCCTCGAGGCATCTCCTGTGCGGTCGGAGGGGAGCACGCAGAAGCCACAGGCTTTGCTCTCTGGGCAGCGTTCCGGTGATTTGTGGAGACAGGTCACTCCTACAAAGCTACTGGCTTCTTGCCACTGTCTGTCTGTGTCCTAACCTTATGTTTTTGCTCACTCAGGACTTGCTTTATAGCCGGAGCCTCTTTTCTTACGTGTGGACGCGTTGGCAGGCAGTTTGCAGGCTCTTGCTGCTATCGTTGCGCTCGCAGCAGAACCCACACTGAGCTAGAAGCTGTTAACCTCTCCCCAGGCCTTCCTGTTGGGATTAATTTTTCTTCAAGGACTGTTGCCAGAATGCCAAATGCCTTCCTGTGGGAGCTGTGCTTGGCCGGTGATGGCACACGAGGCTGCTCTCCCCAGCTTCTTCAGCTGAGGCTGATGTAGGTCGGGTCATCCCCTGCCAAGAGCTGTCCCTGTGAGATGTGGAGACACTGGGGGTTCGTCCCTTTGGCTCCGCACTAGCAGGGCGTCTCCGTCTGGCTTTGCTGAATGAGGCTGTCCCAGCCCCTCCGGGTTTTCTGCTGTTGTAGAGAGTAGGAAAATCCCTTTTGTGGTGTTTTGGGCTGTTTAGGGTAGAACTTCATTAGCTCGGATGGGATCTCATGTTGTGCTGTTCCCTCCCTCACACTTTGCCAGGTTTAGTCAAGTTAGAGGCTCCCTGGGGCTCAAGATTGGTAACGTTTATCACCACGAGTGGCCCTCAGCTGGGTAAAGAGTGGTTTGGGATAGCAGCGCCGTAATGCTCGTGGTCTCGGGGACTGTGGGAGCTGTTAAAGGTCCGGCCCCCACTGCGGCTGTGTCGTACCCTGACCTGGCACAGCCTGCTCCAGGCTTTTGCACAGAGGTTGGCAGGAGATAGAAAGGAAAAATCTGTTTTCAAGAGGCAAGGCTGGATGTTTCCTGGTTCTCGGTGGCAGCTGACTCAGAGGGGTGGCTGCCCTGCATAACTTGGTGTCCCAGAAATTCCTGCTAGGGGAAAGGGTGCTGTCTGCTTGAGGAACTTCTC